GAGAAACTCAATTTTTTTCTTCTAAAACCATAGCAGGAACAGGGATTGGAGTATTTGGTCCGAAAACTAAATATTCCGAACCTATCCCAGCATGCTTCAGGATGGAGAGATGCGTACAACTTATCTTAGATAGGAACTATCAGAAACAAGAAATCTTATCCTAATATAACTCTGTTTTTTTTCTCAGGTAAGATTTCGACAGACGATGACAGAAGAAAAGCAGATGACGTCCCATACCAATCTATTTATTTTACTAAAAAAAGTTTCTAATCATTTTTAAGTTATCTATGGATGGGTTTAAATATAAATCCGTCATACGTCATGTCTTGTTGTTTTTAACCAGTTTTATTGGTTTATTTAAAAAATGACAGATCGTATTTCAATTTTATTGGTTTGACGGAACGATGAACGACAAACGGACGCCGATGCGTATGAACTCGCCTTTAAATTTTTGTCATTTTTGACGCTTGTCAAAGTCTTGCCAAATTATAGGTTATAATTTTGTGTCAACTTTTGTTAAATACTCTGCGTTTTGGAAGATGATGCATTTTGATTCGTATTATTACGTGTATTTTGTGTCTTTTGAAGTCAAGTGGAGGAAAAATCGAGTGAAAATTAACTGTAGACCCAGAGCACAGTTTATGGTTAATACTCGCTGCCCAGGCAGAAAGTCTTATACACCAATGAAGTTGTCATCTATAAAGTTTGTATACCATTTCGTCGTAGATAAGTGCATCTCGTATATGGTAGAAGGATCAAACTAAACACATACTTAAAACTGGAGTAGCTGTAAAATATCGACATCACACGATAGGTAAATAATGGATTTTAGTACTGCAAAAAAATAATGTCAAAAGGTACTGGTTTAAAAAAATTAAGATTAAAGTTAATTAATCAACCTTTAAGGTATAAAATTTGCTGGGTGTTATTATTAATAAAATAGTTTGTTTTATTTACCTATGTTATTTTATTTATTCCTGTGGAATATTACAAATTTGTATTTGTACATAAGTTATATTGATAAATATAATCATAAATGCGGGTAGTTTCATAAAGCTTGAAAGTAAATAATAGTTCTTTTTTTATATTTTTTTGGTATGTAGTGTCTTGTTCTTGTTTGTTTTGTATTAACACATACCGTTTTTATTAAATAAAATAACTCGATTACATTTTTTCAGTTTTATAGTTTTTTTCACAATATTTTGAAGTAATCACTTGTCATCTTGTCAATCAAATTTTAAATATTTCCTGCTATGCGTTCCAGTTGTACCAACTTATTTCTTTGTAAAATAAAATAAACTAGTTTGAAATTAAAATGACAGACACATCTATCACTGTCAAGGATCTTCTCGTTGGACAAACTATAGTTAAGTAGCCTTTAGAGATACCAACTCACAAGTTGGTCAAAGAATACCTAGAGAGGCTGAATAAATTAGGCAAAGAAAATAAAGTCTTCCTACTCTGTGTACCAGCCCACAAAGGGATAGAAGGTAATGAAAAAGCAAGCGATCTAGCTAGAGAAGATGGACAGAAACACCTTTCTGCGTCCCTAGTGGAAACCAACTGACAGCAGAACCCTGGAATGGGAATCCTCCAAACGGTCTAAGATACTCGAAGAAATTTCTCAGGACGACCGAAAAAAAATAAAGTATTTTCCTTGATTTAAGTAAGTACAATCTTCATTGGATTGTTAGGGGTTTTAGAAGACACTGTTTCCTCGAATCTAGTGATTGAAGCTAAGAAACAGCGGCGAATGCAGATTTTGTGGAAAACTTGGGAAACATCAGAAGATCTCATCACTGAGTGCGCCGAGACAACAACGATTCCTGCCATAAACTTTGGTACGACTGATATCGAAGATGGAGAACTGACCTCTGTAAAACCGTTTCAGATAATGGCTTTTGGTTGGAAACATTAAAACAAGAGAAAGAGTGCATCTTCCAGATACCTTGAGAATGCGGTGACTCGTATATTGGAGGAACAAAATTAAACGTCCATAAAAATCACGTAAAAGAGGTTTGGTATGGTTCTCTCGTAGTATAAGCGGTTGAATTTTACAGTGCACTGAAAAAATCATCGGTTATTCAGGTGCACAGGTGTTATTGTGTTAAATAGTCTATTAATTTAACACCAATCTATTTAAAATAGATGTACGATCATTTTATCTATTGGTATACCTCTTGGTACAAAGTGTACAAAGAAAACAAGGTATGATCGATAGCGGCTCCAATTTCGTTAAGTTTGCGCATACCATCTGTGACGTCATACGCCATACAAAAAAATATCCACATTGTTCAATTGCCACTAATAAAAAAAAAATACCTTAATAGGGAAGAATTAGGACATAACTCCAAAAGTTATGTCAAATTATCGAGCTTGACATTTCAAAAATTATTTTCGCGTTTATTGAGGTATCCCATGGCAAAGAGTAGATAAGACAAGAGACGACAGTGAACAAAGAAGTCTAATTTCGCGAGAGAGACGCAGATATATTAAAATTTAAAGGTCCCATCCAGGGGGGTGACAGTGAAATAGGAAAATTGGAAACAGTCATTAGTGTCATTCCTGTCATTCTCCTCACGACAAGTATGGCCGCCTAGACAAGGACAGCATTGTTTTTGTCTAACTATTGTCTAACTTCACAGTTTAGAATTGACAGATTTCAGTTTCAGAGACAACTTCAGATTTGTTCTAGAACAAATTCGAAAATATTCGACGCCATTTTAATTCATTCCGTTTAGTTTCGTTTTGGAAGTTCAATTTAATATTTCGGCTGAAATTTATAAATATAAAAGTAATAAAGTATATAAAATATATATTACATGAAGAATCCTGGAGAAAATGACGTTTCTGCAGTAGTAGGTATGTCCCATCTATAATCTATATGAAAAATAAGTAGTAAATAAACACTGCTTTTACATTTTCTAGATGCAAGAAAATGGTGTTATAATCTCTTTGATCGGCGATTTTTTTGAAAATGGAAACAATTTGCAGCAAGGTAAGATCATTTTTAACTATAGCCAACATTAGTTATCTCCAGTATGTGCGACTTATTGTCAATAATGCAATAAATCGGACTGATAATCTGATTATGTTATCAGACTAAAAGTCTCTTTTTGCTTCTTTTTGATTTATAAGCCAGGTCTCTTTGGGAATAATGGACGCTTTTTTAAACAGTATATTTATATTTTATACCTATTGATACTTTTACACTGTTAATTTTAGTATAAAAAAATTTGTTTTTCTGTTTTCAGGTTTTTGTATAAGGCTCCCGTTTTCATGTTCCTGTGTCCGTTTTCTGTCCTTGAAGTCTGCGAATACGTGTGTTTATTTACAAAATACTGTAAGTCATGCTTATACCTTAACTAATTTACGTTAAAAGTACATATAATTAACTAATTGGTATTGAAACAATACAATCCTCTATATTTTTATATTTATTTAGTCACGTTGTTCCATATTTCAAATAAATATATGTGAATAAATTATTTTTTGGTTTTATTTATGAAGAGAAAAAATACAAAATACATTTGAACTGAAAGAAGGCCCGCCATTGAATAACCGGAAACGGAAATGAAAATTGAGCCATCATGTAAGCATCATGTCCTTATCATGTCAACCAGTGCCTTCTATTAAAAGATCAGCCTACGGGCGAGATTTATGACGTCACGCTAGTTAGATATAACGGATTAATAAATATGTTGTAGAATACATGGAAAACATAATTATTCCTCAGATTTTTGGTTTGTATTTTAAAAATGATATAGTTTAAATGAAATATACATCCGTTCTTTAGTTTAAAACTCGTTTTTAAAATCGCACTATGGCTAATTTGTGGCATGTTTGTGAATATGTTATAATATATTTTTATATTCACCAATATTCTTTATGAATTTATTTTTAAAACGTCTATCTCATAGTAAAATTGCTTATTCGTTGTAAATTTATCTTTAAAAATCGACTTTTTGTAATATAATAACAAATTAAAACATTTTTTATTATAGTGAATTTACAATTAGTTTTGGAAATTCACAAAGCCTTAGTAAATATTAATAAATTTAATAAAACACTTGTTTATAATAATAATTATAATATTTATTATAAAGGTTAATAAAAAGTCACAAAACAGAACTTATATATTATGTAAGATACTCATTGCATCTCTTCTTGTCTAGAAGAACCTTACTGGAATTCTGCGCCTAACCAAAATAGGGAAAAAATTGCCATTAGATACAAAATAAAAACATGCAAGAAAAAGGTATCTAATCAAAACAATCGACTTACCATCTTAGAGACTATGGATGTATAGAGTCCTCTATTCCGGTCTTCTATTAAGTTTGTCCTCCGAAACACAGTCTGAAAGAATACTTAGAGATATTATGTCGATTTAAAGAGATCATGGAACAATTGTTTACATAAAAAAATCGCTAAAATCAAAATGCAAATAATTATAATAAATGGAGATTGTGTTTTCTAAGAGAGCTGGCTTTATATTTACAGAAACTACATTATGAACATAATTAATATAATATACACCTTAAATTATAAAAACACTAATAACCCACGCACTGAGACTCCCACCTGTTCAAGAAATAAGATACTGCTTAGATTAAAATGTTCTTCGTCTTTCCTCTAACTACGTTTTCAATCCATTACTGCCATTACTTAATTTGCATCATCTTTACAAGAAGTCACGTGACGTAGCGAAATTTTTTACTAAATATATTATGGTAAATTCACAGAAGTTTTGTGAATATGTCTACAGACATGCAATTTTACGACAAGATTGTATTTCTGATTTAAATTTAATTTTTAAACTCACAAAACTCATTGTGAAAATAATATCGTTTAGTAATAATCATTTAATATTAATAAACTGTTTTGCAAAATTACATTTTTTTGTGACACCATGCAAAAATATCTTATTTTTACAAGTTTCTTATTAAAAATACTCTAAGGTATTAATATTTTTTTTGTAAAATTAATTATATTTTTTTTCAGTGTGGACGAAAACCCTGAGGCTATACTCTTGCGATTCAAGGCGGGAAACATTAAAACAAGAGAAAGAGTGCATCTTCTAGGTACCCTGTGAATGCGGTGAGTCGTATATTGGAGGAATAAAACTTTACGAGCATAAAAATAATACGCAAGGAGGTGAAACAATCGAGCTTTATGGAGTTTCAGTAAGTAATATTTCCACCACTGCTACTACAATATACAGTAGTACTGTATATGAACATCTGTTGGTACTACTTGTATATGCTCTCCTGTTCTACGATGAAATTAAAATTGATCACACCATTATCTGTTAGTTCCGAATGTTTAGAGTTTGTCTTCCTCATGGTAAATTAGTTTAACTTGCGCCAGTACTTTCACTTTTTCACATTCATTCCATTTTGACTAAGGGTTGACTAGGACTCCAATATAGGAAAATCAAACAAATATTCACATTTTGAATAAATTTATTCGAATCCGCTGACCTAGTTACAAAAGATGATGCGCTATGCTTTTGTTGTTGTTGCAATATTTAATAAAATATTAAATAAACATTGCTGAATAAAGGTTGATTCTCAGTTATCCATTCCATATCCGTTCCGTATTTTTTATTGTAATGACGCTATACGTAAGCTTTCGTTCCGTATCAGTTCCATACTTTTTATTGTACAATTTATATCAATACGAAAGTTCTGTTTTAAAAATTTGTATCTTTTGAAAAAGATAATAGATTTAATTAAGAGGTGAATGAATAAAAATATCATATGTTAACAGAGCTGATACAAATGTAAGAACTTGACAACGTGAGTGGATCTGGGTGACTTTTTTTGAATGGAACACCCTGTATATTATTGCATTTTTGGCTTCCTTTCAGATCATTTTACATAATCCTAAGATATGAGTAAATCTATTTCGATAGTTTCAGAGATATTAAAAAATAAATCAAAAGTATATATTTTTCAACCCTTCTTAAAAAAAATATTAAAAATACAAGAACTGTTCTGAAATCAAAACTATATTAGATATTTACTTTAGATGGGCTGTTCTTACTTTGCTATAAATATGGTAATCGTAAATCATACAGGGTGTTTAATATTTTACACCAAACTTTCAAAAATATAAAATAATTTTTCTTGGTCTTTTTAAATGGAACACCCTGTATATTATTTTTTTATTTGATGGATAATTAAAAAATGAACATTTTTTGTATTTAAGGTATTTCAAAATTTTGAATAGTTTTCCGGGTACACGCAGTATTATTTCATATGGCGCTTTCAATGGTAAAATACGAGAGAAAAATCATTGGGTGGCTTTGATAAAAATTTACTGTGGAAAACGCCATATGAAATACAAAACCGGGAATATCTGCGAAACCGTGAAAAATTTTGAAATACTCTAAATACAAAAAATGTTCATTTTTTAATTCTCCGTCTATTGAAAAAATAATATACATGGTGTTCCATTTAAAAAAACGAAGAAAAATTATTTTATATTTTAGAAAGTTTGGCGTAGAATTTTGAACATCCTGTATAATTTACGATTTTCATATTTATAGCAAAATAAGTACAGACCATCTAAAGTAAATACCTAATATAGTTTTGTTTTCAGAACAGTTCTTGTATTTTTAAAAAATTTTTAAGAAGGGTTGAAAAAAATATATTTTCGATTTATTTTTTAATATCTCTGAAACTATTAAAATGTTTATTCATATCTTAGAGTTATGTAAAGTGATCGGAAAGGAAGCCAAAAATGTAATAATATATAGGGTGTTCCATTTAAAAAAAATCATCCAGGGCCACTCACACTTTTTTGAGCCACTCTATAGAAGTTAAAATATTTTCCTGAAATACATCCTGGTACATACCTTAGGTTTGCACTAAAACAAAATTCTCAAGTTTTTTATTTTAGGAGCTACAGATGCCCGACGCACTATTGCCGGACCCTGTATATCAGGAAGGTAGCTGATATGGAAGCAAAGATGGAAGGTATAGTGAGAATAAACCTCAATTAGGTCGCATTACGTATGGTTCTCTCGTAGTATAGCCGGTATTACGGTGAATGTGGTTGGCGAGCAGTGTCTAGAGACGTTATTCGTGCCCTAGGGCTGCGGCCACCACGGAGCGATGAAATAGACGCCAAAGTTATAAGCATGAGCGTTTTTAATTAGATATTTCTCGAAATTGCCGTGTAATCATCGTCGAGAAGGGATCTTGTAGTGATAGAAGAGGAAGTTCAAGGTAAATAACGTAAAAAATACGTTAATAGGAATATTTGTTGTGGTACACATTAAACTCTTCTTTTTTCTTCAATATTAAAAGGTGTTCATTGACGAGACAGTGTCTTGTTAAAAACTCCGCGACGCGCGACGGTTCGAAGATTGTTCTTACTTAAGTAAATTAAAATCTTTGATTTTTCTCGGTTGTAAATCTCGATAAATTTCTTCGAGTGTCTTATGTCGGGTCTAGACCAAAGCGACAAAAAGTAAACACGATTTTGAGACAAAAACAAGACAAACTTGAGACAAATTGTCCACACCGCAAGGACAAAAGTACAACAAAGTCAAAAGTTTAGTTGTTGCGAATGAGTTTTATTAACCATGTGTGATTTCACTAATCTCCTACAGGGTTGCCAGATGAAATTTGACGCGTGTCGCAGAACTCAAAAGTTTGAGATAGCCCAATGTCGCAGATTTTGCCAAACCTTCAAAATAGCCCAAAATCGCAGATCAAAAATACATGACGTCTCTTTTATCGTTTTTTTTCTTTGTGACTTTATTAAAAGGCAGCTAAGATAGCCCAAAGTCGCAGATTTTGCCAAAAAGCAGTAAAAAAACCTGTTTTTTGAAAAGTGGGGTAAAGGAAAAGAGGGACTAAAGAGAAACAATTGTTAAGTTTTGGTTAATATAATATTATGATCATTGAACAGTATTTATATTAATATACAGTGTTCCTAAATATCATATACAAACGAAAGGGGGTTATCCTTTGGCTCTTTGACATATTTTATGACTAAAGTTTCATATAAACATGGATCTGCAAACGTTTGGTTTTCAAGCTACAGGGTGTTTTTTCTAATAATATCTCGACAAATCCTTTTGCTGGTTTTGTGAAAATTTGGAAGTGTTATCATAGATAAATGAAACAAGTTTAGATTGGAAAGTGCCCATAAGGACAATGTATACACTATTTGGCGCTATTCTTGCAACGGTCGCGACCCAAAACTTTTGAAAATTTCGGAGCGGTTCGGCTTTTTCCGGAATTATATCGCCAAATATTGTATAATCAAATTTATTATTATTTTCGTTTGATTTTATAAATAAAATACAGTGTGTTGCATACAAGAAACTTTATTTTATATAAGGACGCATGTATGAAATACCTATGAAACATTGGAAACCGACGTTATGCCACGATCCACGATGGTTTTTGCAGTTCACAGTTCACAGCACAGCTTTTTAAGTTTTTAATGCCACTTTTTCACAATTATCACCGGTTGGAGTAAATAAAACTTGAATTAAACTCACAAGATAGCAATAATTACTTTGAAAATGGACGCTATAAACACTTTTCGGAATTTCTTTAATGAGAGCGGTTTAGATTTTGAAAGATTATTATGATTTTTGAAGATTCTGACTTTGACAAGAGAAAATTATTTCTGTTTTTGTTTGCCGTTGTTCTTAGCGACCGCTATAGCAGCGCCAGATCGCGTATAACGGTCGCGACCCAAAATAATTTCGCGACCCAAAATTTTTACGGGCTTTCCGATCTAAACTTGTTGCATTTATCTATGAGTGTTATTTATTATGACAAGATGCAAAAAGTTAGGTTAGCAGTAACCAAAAAAACACCCCTTTTCGTTTGTACATGATATTTAGGAGCACCCTGTATAATACAACAAATAAAATTACAAATAAGATTTTAGGTTAGCCAACTTAAAGTATATTTTCTTTGTAGCCCAAAAAATCTCAGAAAAATTTTGAGAATCGCCCAATTTGCGACTAGTCGCAGAAAGATAAAATGTGTTCCAAAATTATTTTTAAAGTAGCCCAATTTGCGATAAGTCGCCCAATCTGGCAACCCTGATCTCCTACTGTTGGCAGCACACGCCATCCACACTGCGCCGACAACTTGTCTTAAAATATACGAACAAAACATAGACACTTTGATCTTTACCGACTCGAGACGGGACATTGAAAAGCCTCCGAATTTTGAAACAAAACAAAAATGAGACAAAAATGTCCCAGAAATGTATTGGATTTGTCGTAAAACATGAATTTTTCTGTCTTGTCGTTGTTTTGTCTGCTTGGTCTGGACCCGTTGGAGGATTCCCATTCCAGGTTACGGATTGAGTCTTCCAGAATGGTCCTGATAACGGTGAAGTGGAGGAACTCGTATATACGTATTATAGGTATTGTTATCGGAGTCTGTCGTTCCTACAGGTACCTCTCGCGTTTCCCCCCCGCCCCGCCGATCCGCCACGATCGCAGCGCCGTGGGTGGCGACGCTCGCAGACTCCAGCGGGCGCTATTCTTTTGTCTTTAGCCGCCGTCGCCGCCTCGGACCGAACATGCACTAAATGCCCGAATAATGACGGCGTGACGGTGCCAGTACCGCCGCTTAATAACCACAAGACATGGCCGACGACGAATACCGAGAAGAATGAGATGGATATTATGCGATTAAGCAAGATGGAAGGGAGGAAAATCGGTCTTTGATTTAATCGATCGAGATCTGCGTCGATCCACCAGCCCAGTACTTACGGAACGTACGAAAAAGGAGCCTGCGCTCTGGTGCGGTTTTATGCTTTTTCTCTAATCGTACCATCGGGCATTACATTTGTCAAGCGACCGGTGTATGCAAATTGTATGAGAGTCGAAAGGCTCGGGAACTATCACGTTTTTCTATCTCAGTTTGGTGTAAGTTGAGTCTCACTCCCACGAACGGGGTCTAAAGGTCTCCTATGACGAGATAGTGCGTTCGAGAATTTTCGAGAAACGGGAATAACAGAGGCGTCAAGTTGCAAAACCCGCCTTACCCATTCAAAAAAAATGCTTAAAATTTCCGATTTTACGGGTCTTGATTTGGTAGTTCTCTATGACACCTAGAAATATTTCTAATTTTTTTTGCATACCTATATATGAGGCCTCAAGTTGCAAAACCCGTCTTATCTATTTAAAAAAAATACCTATTGGCATATATTAATAGTGGACCCTGCAATCTACATAAACATAGGTCCAAACTGTAATAAAATTCACTACAAATTACGTTACTGCAGCAAAATCGGTTTTATCCACTTATTTTTGCTTTTTATTGTCATTATTGTTGCAAATCCCGCATTTTTTCATAGGATTTTTACACAAGTATAATATTACTACTGACGTCTTATCCATTTCAAATCCTTACCTGATTTTAATAAAATAGCATATCTAATAAATCAAGTTGGGATGCAGGAAATGAAACAAACTGCAACAAACCCCACCTTATCCGAATTATTTTTGTGTTTTTTATTAAAAAAATTAAATATTAATTTTTATTTCTAGGAAAACGAGCAACTTGGAGACTTGGGAATCCCCCACATAGCTTTTTGTCAATGGCCTATCATTGCAGATCGAGCTTAGCGTAAGTAACTGCTGACAACTTGGACAGCATCATTATAACTGCTGACGTCTGAGTACTGAGTAAAAAGATGTGTTGGTCCTCAACCTCAACATGATGGATCGAGGAAAGCCAGACAAACAACGGGTCTATCAGTACTGTAGTATAACAATCCAGGCTCGTCAACAAAGTTGAAGAGGTAATATTTTGGCCAACTGTATAACAAGCAATTTAAATGAAATAAAGAAAACTACGTTGTGTTAGAAATATTTTCTATTGTGATTGCCTCGGCTGCGAAAAAATATTATTGCAATCTATATATATTATACAGGGTGTCCCAGAAATAAGTGCAAGTATTTTAAGGGGTGATATAGATCTCGATAAAAGAAACATATTTTCTCTTTATTGTTTTTCAAATAATTCCAAAATAACGGAGTTATTTTACTTTGAAAATTTCCAAAAAAAATGATTTTTTCCTAAAATTTTGAGAACCACTGGATCTTTTCTGGATTTTCTTTCTTGTAAATTTAATCTACTACCTATGTTGCTATATTATCAAGAAATTATGTTTTTTAAATAAAAATTAAAAAAAATTCCAAAAAAATGATGAAATGTTCATGAAAAAATGATTTAAAAACATCCAGAAATCATTTAATTTTTAATAAAAAAAAACTATACCCAAGAAAATCACAATTGGAATATTGAATAAAGGTTTAAGAAAAAGAAAGATACCTATAGTACCAAATAACTACACATTTGCCAGGCAGATTCCGCAGATTCCGATTATAAAATGTGTTCTGTTGTTTCTTCTTGAAGATTTCTTCACTACTTTTAGACTTTTCTTCACTGACATATCTTCTTTTTAATAATTCTCGAACGTACCACTTCATTGCGACAAAGATAAGACATCGGCACGTCTTTAAGTGTGAGCTAAAGATCATCATAGCCAGATCAAAACGTGTCGCAGTCGTCGGGTAATGTAAAAAAATAATATTCGTGAGAAAGCCCGCCGTGGACGTCGAGACTCGCATCTCGAATTTTGATGATGACGGAGGGAATATATAGAGTTTAAAACGGTTAGTGCGTTATCTCGGGACAATTTTGAATTTACGACCAAAACGCGGACAGGCCAATGCGTTTTTAAAGTGAATTGGATGGGTGCTAGGTGGAGATTATTCTATTTTTTTAATTGATATTATCACAGAATCTGTGGCTTCTTTTCACCACCTAAAATGAATTTAAATATAAGTTTTTCTAATTTTCTTAGATTCACATTTTTAGTTGGATGAACTAAAATGTCTTCTCCTCATCGGACTAGGTGTTTATTAGGGTGGGTCAAAAAAATTGACTATTTTTTTTTCCACTTTATACTTTGAAAAAAAGGTTGGTAGACACCTCAAAAAATTCTCTCCAAGTATGAGCTCTTAATTTTAATAGAAAGGTCCTTCGCCTTTCAGTTTTCTATTTTTTCCTTTATTACTAGAAAAAAAAATTCATATCTTCGTTCTGCTTTTTGGAAAAAATATATCGTCTCCTATGTTTGTAGAAAATTGAATTCTCTACAAAAAAGGTCTCTTACCATTTTTTTGTAAACCTCACCGTTCGAAAGTTATTAAAGGTTCGTCAAACTTCAATGCACAATAATTTTAACAGTTTTTGATTAATAATTCGAACAATTCCAATTGATTTTATAAGTTTTGGGAAAATTTTTACAAATTTAAGTTTCTGTCGTGAAAGTAACTACCATGGAAGTTCTCTGTTCGAAAATTTATTTGAAATTTATTATTCTTATAATATTGTTACGGATCACTAATTTAAACTCACGATAAAATACTTAAGGAATTTATTAAATAACAATAACAATATAAGCAACAGGATGTACTAGGATGTATCACGACAGAAACTTATGATTTTGTATACATATACAGGGTGTTTCAAAAAACATGTGCCATCTCTCGTGGGGAGATTCCTCACGTAAAATAAGATTATTTTATTTGTATTAGTAAATAAGATTTATTTTTCATATCAACATAGATAGATTCAGAGAGACAACATAGATTCTGCTTTGTTTCGTAGTTACAGGGTGTTAACGTCTTAATATTTTTTTGATTTATTATAATTTTCTTCCAAGTACTTTTAGCGTTTCGAATGAAATTTTGATGGTAAAAGTTACTATAAATGCGACATATTTTAAAGCTAAAAAAGGGTCAACTTATTCACCAGGGACGTGCTTATGGGTTATCACTGAAATATTTTTTCTAAAAAAAGCATGTACGCCACTGATTTTTTTCCCTCTTGTTAGCGAAATTTTTGGCGAAATAGTGTAAGCAGTTTAATGCCGATTAACAGTTGTTTGCGAAAGTTTTAAATAAGTACTCATTGATTCCTCATCAAAAAATATGAAAAAAACTTTCTATAAACATGGGTATGGAAAAAATGTATAGTTTTAGAGTTACACGATGTTAAAACTTTTTAAAATTAGTTTTTTTGTAATTATCTTAAATACCATTATTTTTTTATTTGAAATTGCTGTATGTTGGACTAATAGTAATAATAAATAATAATAAATTAGGTAAAATATATAATTTATTAATTTTATTTTAGTTTTAATTTTATTAATTCTGATTTATAAAATTGCGCTTTATCGAATTCGGTCTCCTTGATGAGATATCAATTAAATTTAAGATTAAAAGCTCATGTTTGGAGAGAATTTTTTTGAGATATCTACCAACCTTTTCTTCAGAGTATAAAGTGAAAAAAAATAGTCGATTTTCTTGACCCACCCTAGTGTTCATTGAGGACACAGTGTCCTGTTACAAACCCCGTAATATCCCGAAAATTGTTTTTTCTTAAATCAAGGAAAATCTTTTATTTTTCTCGGCCGGAAGTCCTAAAGTACGTATAGAGTGTCCCAGACTCAATCGCCATGGATAATCGCCAATGCCACTGAGTGAAATTCCATTTCAGAATTGCCATTCAGAATTAACAGCCCAACACGATAAACAACGACATGCTGGCATCACTGTCGACCGATAATAATAGTAATAATCAAAGTGCCTGGGCCCTGATCGAGTCGTTAAGAAATACTTAACGATGCTTGACCGATGTTTGGTAAACAATAGCTCTCGCTACGACCTACGTAATTCGATAGGGCCAATAAGGGCTACAAAGGGCACTATGGGCAACGACGGTCGATCTTAGGATGGTGTGTCGTGCGTGGCCTTTATTGTGTCCGCCGTTGCGGCTGGACAATGGTCACGTGTGATTAATATGGGAAAATCAGGCGATTCAGAATCGTCAGGATGTATAATACCGGTGAATTTAAATTTAATCGGTAATTATCAAGGACAGTACCAGGAGTCTAGGTATATCTCGAATCTCTATACCCGACCTGAACATAGGAAATCCCATGTAAATTTTTAAAATGATGAATAAGTTTTTCCCATATTATTTTATAGAAAAATGTATTTGAAATTTTTTAAATAACTTCTTAAAATGGAGCAAATCTTCCATTTTCAATTGTTTCTACTAATTCCCTTTGGAGTAATGAGAGATAAAAAAGCACCAAGTTAATAGAAACAATAATGTGGTTCTGATTGGAATAAGAGGCCGCTATTACACTATAAAATTTCTTTGCCAAAGATCTTTTTTAAAAGATATTTGATGAAAAATTTGATAGTGTTATTATTCAATATTTTAATAAAATCACACATATTACACTGTCAAGTTCTTCATAAAATATCTTTTAAATAAAATCTTTGAGAAGGAATTTTTATAGGTTAATACTAGCCTAACAAACACGCCACCATCAAATTCGATTTTTTTTGTTGACTTTATTATTTTTGAATTGACTTTATTGTTGCCAAAAAAAAATTGCAAATAAGTTTAGAACCACTGGATTTTTTTTTCCTATAAATTTAATCCAACTACCCATGTTGCAATTATTATCAAGATATTATGTTTTTTAAAAGAAAATTACAAAAAAAATCCATTTTTATTTGTCTGCCCTAAAAATATCTGCTGATCTAGAATTAATTAAAAATTTATTTAAAAAAAAATGAAAAAGTTTCAACTAGGCCCCGACGAGATTCGAACTCGTGATCTCCTGTTTACTAGACAGGCGCTTTAACCAACTAAGCCACGGCGCCGTTGGATAGAGATCGTTTATTCCGGTAGAATAGTTGCAAAGCGACTAGGTATTCCAGTTTTATTTATATTTTTTTCTTATTTATCTTGTCTACATATTAGGTATTTTTTCTATTAATTAATGATAGGTGTTTGTTGAGGAGACAGTGTCCTGTTAAAAACCCCGTGACAATCCAAAGACATAATACTTATTTTATAAGCATTTTGTGAACTTATAAATATAAATGTATCTCATACAGTATACAGTATATTATTTATATCAGTTCTCTAAGGAGAAAACATAAGAAATGCCAAACGACAGGGAGACGCGATATCCCCAAAGCTGTTTACAGCAAAACTAGAAGAAATCTTCCGTCAACTGGACTGGACCAAAAAAGAATTAAAAATAGATGGAGAATATCTTAACCATCTAAAAGTCGCTGATGACATAGTTCTAATTGCCAATAGTCCCGAAGAACTACAATCAAAAATTAATGAACTAAACATAACCAGCAATAAAGTGGCTCTCAAAATGAATTTAGCATAAACTAAAGTAATGTACAACGAACTGGTGGAAAGAAAACGCATTCTAATAAATTACACAACTCTGGACCAATATATATTTTAGAGGTGTTGCTAATTTCAAAGTTTTTATTAAATACTTTTTTAAAACACTTATGTCGTTAGTGCATCATTTAACTTGCACAACCCTTAAAAATAAAGCACATTAAATTAATCTACCCTTACAGCTTCGGCAATGATGCAGATCCCTGATGTTGGGCCAACACACAGTAGCTTAATTTCGATCTGGCCGTTAAGGGCTAGAGATTTATGGCCCTATCCCCTATTTAACACATGGCACTCCGAAAAGGTGGGTTTAACAAAATTGTCGAGAGTTGTAGTAATTTAGCGCGGTGTAACCGGAGCCTCTGTTAACCCTTGATTAAATCGGACGGTTACACTGCACCCTTTGGGCCCTTCGTCTAGTTCACGTTCGTGTTTGTTTGGTTTTCCCGATTTGTTTTGGATTTGTATCGTCGCTGATCGGACAGATAGTTACACACAGAGAGAGCC